TAGGTGGACCACTGGCTGCAACCAGTGGTTAAGGGGTGATATGATAGCCATGTTCAAATATATAAAAGGATGTCGCATAGAGGAGGGAGAAAGGTTGTTTTCTGCTGCTCCAGAGAAGCGGACACGGAGCAATGGATCCAAACTACAAGAAAGAAGATTCCACCTAAACATCAGGAAGAACTTCCTGACGGCAAGAGCTGTTCGACAGTGGAATTTGCTGCCAAGGAGTGTGGTGGAGTCTCCTTCTTTGGAGGTCTTTAAGCAGAGGCTTGACAACCATATGTCAGGAGTGCTCTGATGGTGTTTCCTGCTTGGCAGGGGGTTGGACTCGATGGCCCTTGGGGTCTCGTCCAACTCTAGGATTCTATGATTCTATATGCTAAGAGGAAGGCACGCTTGGCAAATCCACACCGTGATCAACTCCTGCCCAGAAACCAATGTCCCCACTGTAGAAGGACGTGTGGGTCCAGAATTGGCCTCCACAGTCACTTAATGGACTCACTGTTAAAACTGTATTCATGGAAGACAATCTTACTCAGCTATGAGGGAACGACGGAGGAGGAGGAGGTTTCAGAACTAGAATGAGTCATTCTTACCCTTTAAAAAAAAAATTCAGGGGAGAGGAGTAGTGGATTGTCTGAGGGAAACGGACCCCTAGAACCTTCTCCCTTTCTCCTTTCTGTAGGCATTCCTGCTTGTGGGCCACTGGCCCATGAATGTGGGTATTTGGTTTTCCTTGTGCTGCAGAGCCCAATCAGTGGTGCGCATCCCTTCCAGATCGTTGTCTATAAACGGCTCCAAATCATGCATCATGTACTCCAATAAAGAAAGCCATATAATTCAGATCAGATGAGAGCAGCCACAATAAAACAGATAATGGCACTGTGGATGTGCTGCCCATAAGCCCTTTATCTACATTAATTAATCACAATACCACTGAGAAGTCAGTGGGATTGTGAAAGGCATACAGAGACGTGTTGGGGAATCAAAACTTCCCAGACAATGAATGTCACAAAATGAGCTGCTGTTCCCTTGGAAGTCTAAAGAGGCCTGATGGGCTCACGATTGTGGAGATTCTGACTAAACATTGGGAAGAACTTTCCAACGATGGTATGAGCTGTTTGACAGACTGAGAGGAGATAGGAGAGGCACCTTCAAGCATCTCAAGGGCTGTCGCATGAAAGAGGGAACAAGCTTGTTTTCTCCTGCTCTGGAGGGGAGGACACAACCAATGGCTTAAAGTTACAAGAAAGGAGATTCTGACTAAACAGCAGGAAAAACTTTCTGTCAGTGAGACCTGTTAAGACAGTGGAATGGTCTCCCTCAGGAGGTGAGGGACTCTCCTTCCTTGGAGGTTTCTAAGCAGAGGTTGGATGGTCACCTGCCATAGATGCTTTAGTTGAGATTCCTGAATTGCAGGGGGCTGGACTAGATGTCCCTTGAGGTCCCTTCCAACTCTAGAATACTTGTTGTTGTTTAGTCATTGTGTCCGACTCTTCATGACCCCCTGGACCAGAGCACGCCAGGCACTCCTGTCTTCCACTGCCTCCCGCAGTTTGGTCAAACTCATGTCCCACCATCTCGTCCTCTGTCGTCCCCTTCTCCTTGTGCCCTCCATCTTTCCCAGCATCAGGGTCTTTTCCAGGGAGTCTTCTCTTCTCCTGAGGTGGCCAAAGTCTTGGAGCCTCAGCTTCAGGATCTGTCCTTCCAGTGAGCACTCAGGGCTGATTTCCTTCAGAATGGAGAGGTTTGATCTTCTTGCAGTCCATGGGACTCTCAAGAGTCTCCTCCAGCACCATCATTCAAAAGCATCAGTTCTATGATTCTATATGATTCTAACTCTAGATCAGTGGTTCTCAACCTTTTTTGGCCATGCCCCACCTAAGCATCTCTAAAATCCTGATTCCCCCCCCCCCGTGACATATAATTCTTATTATTCAAAAAGTGAACTCCTATTCACATGGAGGAAGCCTAAAAGGCCATTACCTGTTAATAACTCATTCTCAAATTGCCCCCCTTAAAAATCAATTTGCCCCACTGTGGGGCATGTGCCCCATGTTGTAACCACAGCTCTAGATGTCCTCTCTGTGCAAGGGACAGCACTTCCACGAGGACACATATTTTGGGGAAGAGGCTGAACAGTTGAGACATTTTCGGCACCAACAAAAAAGTTTGTGGAAATTGTGTGCAGCTTTGGTTCGGCTTTAAGCAATCCGGCGTTGCCAGATAGAAAAGTGAAGCTGAGTATTCTGTTTGGCTTCCTGCAAAAGTGAAGGAGGGTGACGTGATTAGAGCAGCAAAAAAGGCAAATGAGGGAGAGTTCTGGAGAGAGGCGAGGAGAAGGCTGAAGTCATCTGGACAAGAGATGAGCAGGACCGAGGGTTCGTCTGTTTCCTTGCCAAAAAGACACATGTGTCTTTGCTTGGATAATAGCCTGCAGGTGCAAGGCAGTCCCTGTCATGCGGGTGCCCAGAAAGCACCACTGACTGGAAGGACCAGTTCCCCAATGAAAGAGGAAACTTTGGAAGAAGCACATCATTTGCCATTCCTCCTCGCTGCAGAGAGAGAGATGAAACAGACTTTGCTGTCCTTTGCTAGTCTGGCCTCCGTCCACTGGCTGCGTCCGCTCAGGCCATGAAGAATTCATCAGAGTCCAGTTAGGTTCAAAGGCATTTTATATGAAATAATCATAATAACAAGCTTTGCAGGCAGGGGAAAAAAATATGGGCTGGAAGACCATCAGGCCACACAGCAAATGTTCTGTCTCGTCCAAGGCAGGAGCTGCACAAGCAGCTTCTGAAAAGAGACCTTTTTCCCCTGAACACAGAAAAAAACATGTTGGCAGCAGGTGGAAAGAGGAACGGGGAGGGGGGGGAGAAGTCTGTGAAGTTAGTGGCTGAGGCCCCCCCCCTGCAAAGACAGACGACCAGGTTCTTGGACACAGAAAAGGCATTGCAAGGCGGGGGCGGTAGGGGGGTTAGAGGGAGGAAGCAGATGTCTGGCTTCAGGCAAAGAGTCATGTCCTGATTGCACTGTGAACATAAAAGACTAGAGCATCTTCAGGGGAAGGTGAGAGGAAATCTACATTTATGTGTATAAACAGGAGCAGAATGTGACTTTTTTAAAAAAAAATTTGGAGAACAAGCACAAATAAAAAATAATGTTCAAGAAGGCAAGTGGTGGAACTCTTTAAGGCTCAGAGAATGTTTTTTTTAAAAAAAAAATGCAGTCTAAAAATACAAGTTCAGTAGAATCGTGGGAAAGTGGAGTTGGAAGGGACCTTAAAGGTCTTCTAGTCCAACCCCCTGCAATGCAGGAATCACAGCTCAAGAATCGCTAACAGCCGGCCATCCAAACATTATTTAAAAGCCTCCCATGAAGGAGGGTCCAGCCCCTTCCAAGGTGGCCCATTTTACTGCTTCACGTGTTCATGTGGTTCCCACACCAGCAGAAAGGGTGAACTGGGCTTCCACAGCTTCTGATCCTGGAGGCAGGAGACGGGCCTTGCGGCTAGGAGCAGGTGGAACTGAGTGCTGTGTGGAGAAGCCTTCTGTGTGTCCCAGATCTTCATGGGATGGCCCTGGCTCAGTTTTTTGGGTTTTTTTAAGAATATTTTTTTATTAACCGACCAATCAAATCAAATCAAACCAAATTACATAAATTCCAAATTACACAGCCGAATTTTAAATTTTTGTTGGGGGTACCCATATTTCAAATTCCGAAGGGGATCCAATCAACTTCTTGCTTCTTACTGCTGTTTTAATGTCCACAAATCTAACCTTATGATGTTCACAGTACTATCCAGTCCTTTCTTATTGTTTTCCACATCTCTTGTTGTTATTTTCATATATTTTTCCTTTCTCTTTGTGACCTCTGATAGTCTCCGCAAGCTGGTTAGAACAGTTTGTAATCCTGCGTGGATATTTTTTTGTGTGTCCAGTAGCCATATCCAGACGTTTTCCATATAACATCACTTCCATACATCAAAACAGTCTTAGCGTCATTAATCTTCACCAATCTGCCTCCTTTCTCAAAACCTCTGAGGAGATTCACTAGGAATGCAGTCTAAAAACAAGTCCGTTCTTCCTCCCGGCTATAAATCCTTTGGCAAGATGGCGACTCCAAATTTATTGCTGCGCCATTCCCAAAAGCTCTTATTGCTTCTCGAACTCCATAAAGCATACTTTTGGTTAAAGTTTATCTCCACACAGACCTTAATCATCCTGCTTGGGTCAGTTCAACCGACGATTCTGATGAGGAGGAGTTCTTGTAAATCACATAGAAGGAAAGTAAAAAAGGTCCCCCCCCCATTCAGTCCCAACATACCCAGCCTTTGGTGTATCTTCATCGTAAAATATTCCTGTTTCTCCAACCCATCGTCTTCTTTCGCAGAGGTCACTTAAATTAGCAGACTTCACTCCCCTTCTTCACTTGAAATATGTGCATTTGCTTCTTTTGTAATTAATTATTCCAAATTGCTGCAGCTAGTGCGCGATCAGAGACAGCGTCCAGGAGAGCCGATGTCCACACGGGGGCATTCTGCCTAGGGCCCTCACCCCCTTCTTTCGAATTAGGGGGTGATTTATGGGCACAGCAGGCAAGGGCAGTGTTCCCCATTTCCTTGGGGCAACAAGGGAGGCTGCCTACTCCCATAACAGCCTCTTAATTACCCCGTGTGGGTCGGAGAGATGGTATTGTCGGCCATCTTCCAATGCGCCCCCTAGTGGCCCCCCGACCCTGGCTGAGTTGAGGTCAAGAGAAGAGCCTGCTGGACCAGGGTGGTGGCCCCTTCAGCCCTGCCTCCTGTGCCCACAGCAGCCACCCAGGTGCCCTGGGAAACCCCCAAGCAAGTTTCAAGCAAAAGAGCCACCCTCTGCCCCCTGGAAGTCTCATTCCCATCAACTGCGCTGGAATAACTGGGACATCCTGTTTCCTCCTGCGAGAGCCTAGTAGCCATTTGGGGCACCTTGCTCTTGCGCTCTTTTGGGCTGAGATCCCACCCTGAAAGGAAGCCCCTTTTCTGGGTCCACGGTCTGGTGTGGGTCTCGTAACTGATGCGGGATTTTGGAGCTGGAAGATGGTGTCCGAGATTTGGGCCACGTCACACTGAAGGGCTTGAGCGTACACCCACGTACAGCCCACGTCTTCAGCGCCTGCATGGGCTGGGTGTCGGGAGCACCTTCTCTGACCTTCTGATCACAGGAACGCAGGAACAGTGGCGCAGCATTCCCGAGGAATAGGTCCTGGTGCAGTGGACTCATATTTGCTATTGTGAGCCTGTCAAAAGCAGCAGAGTAACGGAAGCAAAGCTGCGGAGGTTTTGTTGCATTCCTAATTTGTTTCTACTGATTAAACAAACAAAAGAACATAACAAACATGTAGGAGAGATACAGCTCTCTCATACAGTGGTACCTCGGGTTACAGATGCTTCAGGTTACAGACGCTTGAGGTTACAGACGCTTGAGGTTACAGACTCTGCTAACCCAGAAATAGTATCTTCGGTCAAGAACTTTGCTTCAGGATGAGAACAGAAAGCATGCGGTGGCAGCAGGAGGCCCCATTAGCTATAGTGGTACCTCAGGTTAAGAAGAGTTTCAGGTTAAGAACGGACCTCCGGAATGAATGAAGTTCTTAACCCGAGGTACCACTGTACTGCCATCTTGTCTCTAGACAGATCAAAGAAAAAAACAGCACAATACTGGGGATGGAAGTCTGGAAGAGTAGTTCCGCTCTCTCCTTTCTCACAAACAGAAAGTAAAACAAACATGATCTGGTGATCCTTGCAATGGGAGGGATGGAAATACTGACAGGGCTTGCCGTTTCCGGCAACTGGACTTCAGAAGCACTGCTGGCTCCAGCTGTGGAGCATGGCCCTTGTGGCTAGAAGCCACCGGTAGACCTCTCCTCATCCATGAATTTGTCCAATCCTCTTCTGAAGCTGCCCCAGTTGGCGGCCCTCCCTGCCTGCTGGGCAAGTGAGCTCTTTAGCTTGACTCTGCAGTCTCATATTATTCCTTGTGTTAGGAGAGAGGGAGAAAAAAGGCTCTGCTTTTGCCACAACATGCATAACTCTGCAACCTTCCTGTAATATCCTCGTTTAATAGTCTTCTTCCAAAATAAGGTTGTAAGGAAGATCAATATTGGTCTCATCCAACACATTTAATTTGGCGTTCGGGAGGCGGCTGTTTGCAGGCGCCCAAAGCTCCCTTCTGTGCTCATAGGAGAGGCGAGGCTGCCCCCTGAAGTCCACCTCATGTCTCTGTCCCAAATCTTCTTCAATCCTCTGTGCACCTACCTGGGAGTAAGCCCAGCTGGGACGGGGAGCCTGTGTCCAGGACTGCACTGTCTGTAATAGTCCTGTACCAGCTTTCAGATTGAAAGCATCAAAATTCAATAAGATCAAGGCAGCTTAAAATCATCCATCAATTGAACATTAAAATCAATAGAACAAGCTAAAACTAAAAGAGCAGCAAGAAAGAGGGTTTAGAAACTTACAGGATTTTTATTTTATTTTTAAAAATAAACTCTGAGTGTCTGAAGGTCACAACATCAACTATCTGGAGGAAGTGTCTTGTGTGTTTCCATAAGGGCGTAAGAGCATGAGGCGAGCCTCGTGGATCAGGCCCATGGCCCATCTAGTCCAGCATCCAGTTCTCACTGTGGCTTTTGATACCATCAACCATGGTCTCTTTCTGGAGCAGGGGAGAGTTAGGGGTGGGTGACTCCACTCTGTGTTGGTTTCAGTCCTTTTTAAAATAATAATATTTGTTTTGTGTAAAGATTATACCCCCTTCATGGATCACTGCCTTGCCGTGGCGAAGGGGCTTGAATAACTCAGAGAAGCTATGAGCTATGCCATGCAGGGCCACCCAAGATGGACAGGTCATAGTGGAGAGTTTTGACCAAACGTGATCCACCTGGAGGAGGAACCGGCAAGCCACTCCAGTATCCCTGCCAAGAAAACTCCATGGACAAAGACAACAGGCATATAAAAGTTATGACACTGGAAGATGAGCCCCTCAGGTCGGAAGGCATCCAACATGCTACTGGGGAAGAGCGGAGGACAAGTACAAGTAGATTCAGAGCTGAGGAAGCGGCTGGGCTAAAGCCGAAAGGTCACTCAGTTGCGGATATGCCTGGAACATCACAAGTATAACAGTTCCAAAGAAACAAGAAGAAAAAAGGTTCTCCCAAATCCATGGGTTCCCTCCATAGGTTCCATTTCCAGTTTTATCCCTGCATCTTTTACTGTAACCTATCTGTTATATATCCATAGTATCCAAAGTTCATGTTACTTTCCAAGTGTCATTGTATTCCTGCCAATGATTTCAACTGTTTACAGTGGTCTCTCAAATATGTTAAAAAGTTATTCCAGTCTTTCACAAATACTTGGTCTTCCTGGTTTCTGATCTTTCCCACCCATCTTGCCATTTCGGCAATCAGCTTGGTCTGCCCTTCTTCTCTGGCCAGTACTTTTCCTTCTTCCCACCTCTGGGCTGAGAGCATCCTTGCTGCTGCCTGCGGCGGTTCCAGTCCTACTTGGATGGTTGTGTCCAGAGGGTGATGCTTGGGGAGTGTTCTTCAGCCCCATGGAGACTTCAATATGGGGTTCCTCAGGGTGCAATTTTATCCTCCATGCTGTTCAGCATCTATGTGGAAGCTTCATCTGGGGCAGAATATGGCAGCCAGGAAGCTCACCAGGGCAAGACGATTTGAGCCCATGAGGCCAACCCTGGTCCGACTGCACTGGATGCTGATTAGCTTAAAGGTCCAATTCAAACTGCTGGTTTTGACCTATAAAGCCTTAAATGGCTCAGGACTGCAATACCTCAAGGACCGCCTCTTTCCATTTGAACCTACCCGGACCCTGAAATCATCTTCTGAGGCCTTTCTTCGTGTGCCTCCTCCTCAAGAGGTCTGGAGGGTGGCAACACAAGAGCAGGGCCTTCTCTGCAGTGGCTCCCCATCTGTGGGATGCTCTCCCCAGGGAGGCTCGCCTGGCACCTTCACTACTTATCTTTGGGCACCAGAAACATCATTCTCCCTCATCTCCCAGGCATTTGGCAAATGAAACCATCTATGGCCTTTTGGAATGGGAGGGGGAATTACTTTATTCCTTATTATGGTGTGCATTTTTGTGTTTTGATATTATGAACTGCCCTATGATCCTCAGATGAAAAGCGGTATAGAAATTGAAATTAATAATAATAATAATAATAATGTTGTCGGGTGCCCTCTTTCTGGGTGACAAAGAGGATGTTGGCAGCGCAACTCCCAGCATTCTTGGAAGAAGCAGATTATCTAGACCCTTTAGCAATAAGAGCAATGTCTGCTTCTGAATGCACAATTTGTACCGCATTTCTTATATCAATTACTTTTTGTTGGGATTTCAAAACCACTTAGAAGTTTATTTTTGAAATATGAAGCAGTGCATAAATGGACTGAATCAATGATAATAACAGTTTATCATTTTTCAATTTCATATGTTGCATTAGAAAATAATGTACACACCGACTCGAGACTTTAGTGAAAAGGTGGCGTAGAAATTCTTCGCACGCATAGATAATAATGGAAGTGGAGAGAATGGATGGCTGGATGGTCATCTGCCAGGACTTTTTCTAGTTGTGATGTCTGCATTGCAAGAGGATGGATTAGATCAGTGTTCCCCAACGGGGGGCCCCCCAGGATATTCCAAGGGGGCCACAGGTGGAAATCTCATAAATGAGGGGCCACAGCATGAGGCTAGTGGGGCACAGAGGGAAGTGAGAAGTGGAGGAGGGACAATTGTGTTTTTAAAAATATCCTGATCAGCTGGCTATCCTCTTGGCCAATCCCAAGCAGGGAAGGGGGGCAGCCCACTAGGGCCTAATGCATGCCAGTGCACTGGAAGAAACAAAGATCACCAGTGTGGAAGCAATGATTCTTCAACATCAACTTCGTTCGCCTGGTCATGTTGTGCAGATGCCTGATTCTTGTCTTCCAAAGCAATTACTGTATTCCAAACTTAAAAATGGAAAGCGTAAGGCCCTGGCCCTAGTTTAGACCAATCTAACCACCTTGTGACTTGGGACCTCCAAAGTGTTGTTATTTGTGGACCTTAAGGTCCTCCTTGGGACAATCCAGGAGAAGCGGTCCCATAGGTACGAGGGTCCTAGGCTGCGTAGGGCTTTAAAGGTCAAAACCAGCACCTTAAACCTGACCCTGTACTCCACCGGGAGCCAGTAAATAACTGTCTACTCAGAAGAAGGCTGCATTGAGTTCAGTGGGCCTTACTCCCACTGAAGGTGGTAAGGGTGCGGGGGGCTATAGGATTTTATCTAGGCAGCCAGGGCTCCTCCGGATGACAAGATCTTCTTTCACCAGGTCAGTGAGGACCACTTGCTTTTTAAAATTATCCCATATATAGAGAACTCCCTGTGCGCCTTTTGGACTGTATCTGTAGGTTTCCCCCTCTGTGTCAAATAACTGGGGTCAAAGAAGTGTTGCTTACTTTTTATAATACATGGAAAATGAATCTCCCTCTGGAGGTGGTGGACTCTCCTTCCCTGGAGGTTTCTAAGCAGAGGCTGGATGGACATCTGTCAGGGATGCTTGAGCTGAGATTCCGGCATTGCAGGGGCTAGACTAGAAAGAGGAGCCTTTGGGGTCCCTTCCATGAATCTATGTTTTTCTGCTTCAACAATATTTCATTAAAGGGTAAAGGGACCCCTGACCATTAGGTCCAGTTGCAGAGGACTCTGTGGTTGCGGTGCTCATCTCGCTTTACTGGCCGAGGGAGCCGGTGTACAGCTTCCAGGTCAAGTGGCCAGCATGACTAAGCCACTTCAGGCGAAACCAGAGCAGCGCACAGAAACGCCGTTTACCTTCCCGCCTTTACCTATTTATCTACTTGCACTTTGATGTGCTTTCGAACTGCTAGGTTGGCAGGAACAGGGACTGAGCAATGGGAGCTCACCCCGTCGCAGGGATTTGAACCGCCGACCTTCTGATCGGCAAGTCCTAGGCTCTGTGGTTTAACCCACAGTGCCGCCCACGTCCCTATAATATAATATAATATATATATAATATAATATAAACGTAATCTTTCATTACATTCCTATTATTTTATGTAATTGTATTTGGTATAAATTATTTAAAAATATACAAATAAAACATGTTC